TTGAAAAGGCCTTCTTCCTCCCTTCTGCTGAGTGCATGCGGTAGACAGCAACGAGAACGTGGCCGTAGGAACATGCAATCCCAAAGAAAGGCAACAAAAGAAAGAGGCTCGTGCTCACAAACACGGTGTACTCATAGACCCACGTGTCCATGCAGGCCAGAGTCAGCATGGCTGGGACATCACAGAAGAAGTGATTGATGGCCCTGGACCTGCAGTAAGGGATGTGGAGGGCATACGTGGTGTGGGCACAGGAGTTGATAGAGCCCATTATCCAAGATCCTGTCATCATCAACACACACACTCTTCTGCTGATCCTGATGGGATAGTGAAGAGGGAAGCAAATGGCCACATAACGATCGTAAGCCATAGAGACCAAGAGCAATCCTTCTGTACCTGCTATAGTCAAAAAGAAGAAGCTCTGAATCCCACACCCAATGAAGGAGATAGACTTGTTTCCAAACAGATAATTGGAGACCATTTTGGGGACAATGGTGGAGATGTAGGTCAGGTCCATGAGGGAGAGCTGACTAAGTAGGGAATACATGGGTGTGTGGAGATGGGTGTCCAGACAGATGAGAAGGATCATGGTGAGGTTGCCAAACAGAGCCACTAGGAAAATGAGAACAATGAGGATATAAAGAAACAGGCCAATTCCTGATGGTGGGAATAACCCCAATAAGATGAAATCAGTTGATGTTTTATTATAATTTTGCATTGGACATTCATGTAATTTTTCCTAAAGGCAAACACAAGAGTAAGTCAGTCAAGTTTAAAGCAAGAAACCATATTTAAGTTAGTATTTTAGTCAGATTGTGTATTATTTAATAAGTTTCAGCTCTGAAATGAAAACTGGACTTACCATATTTGGAAAAAACTCAACATTAGTTTTTGATGCCAGGGTTTAAAAATTGTAAATGCAAACAGTTTTGGACCAAGTGTTTGCCAAGAAATCTTACAGTTATTAAAAAAAGAATTATGACAGTATTAGGATAAATATGTTTTAGTGTCCTACATAAACCCCAGTAACATCAAATCAGGTGTCATATGCAAAATATATTAGTGAGAAATGAATATAATGCATACATTATAGAATTCTATTATGATTAAGTGTCTATTACCATTAAGGAATGACTTATCTTTCATATTTCAGCCCTCAGGTTTACCTCTAAAACGATTGCACCCTGTCAGCTCATGTTGAGAATCTATTTTTCCTTC